CCGGGGTCCCTGGAAGATACATCACCTTGATCGATCGGGCCACCGATGACCACAACAAACACTTCTATCTCACCGGAACCACTACGGATACCTTGAACCTGAGCTCATACAACTACCTCGGATTCGCCCAGTCGGAAGGTCCCTGCGCTGACCACGCCGAGGATACTCTGAGGAAGTACGGGATTAGTGCTCCTAGCACTCGCGCTGAGGTGGGAACGCAAGATCTTCATGCCGAAGTTGAGAGTCTTGTTGCCAGCTTTGTGGGCAAGGAGGCCTCGATGGTCTTCTCGATGGGGTTTGGTACAAATGCAAATATCTTTCCTGCCTTGGTGAGCAAAGGTTGCCTGATTATATCCGATGAATTGAATCACGCTTCAATCCGCTTTGGCGCCCGTCTCTCAGGTGCGTCCATTGGAATGTTCAAGCACAACGACATGAAGGACCTGGAGGCAAAGCTGCGTGAAGCCATCTCTCAGGGCCAGCCACGTACTCATCGCCCATGGAAGAAGATTCTGGTCGTTGTTGAAGGACTGTACTCCATGGAAGGATCCATGTGCAATCTTCCAGGTCTCATTGCGCTGAAGCGTCGCTATAAATTCCATCTCTTTGTGGACGAGGCGCACTCAATTGGAGCCATAGGTCCCAAGGGGCGGGGTGTTTGTGACTATTTCAGCATTGACACGAAGGAGGTAGACATTCTGATGGGAACCCTTACCAAGTCATTTGGCGCCAACGGCGGCTACATTGCCGCTGATAAGGCGATGATTGACAAACTCCGTGCGACCAATTCCGGTATTTTCTACGGCGAGGCGCCAGCTCCTGCTATTCTGGCGCAGATCTCTTCCGCGCTCCGCATCATCAACGGGGAGATTGTTCCGGGCCAGGGTGAAGAGCGGTTGCAGCGTTTGGCCTTCAACTCTCGGTATCTTCGCCTCGGATTGAAGCGTCTTGGCTTTATAGTGTACGGTCACGACGATTCGCCAATTATTCCTGTCCTTCTTTTCAACCCTGCCAAGATGCCCGCCTTCTCCCATGAAATGCTTAGAAGAAAGATCTCCGTCGTCGTTGTCGGATACCCCGCCACTCCTCTGGTATCCTCTCGGGCTCGTTTCTGCGTTTCTGCCGCGCATACCAAGGAAGACCTTGACCGCGTCCTGAGTGCCTGCGACGAGATTGGCAATGTCCTGCAACTGAAGTTCTCTACCGGAATTGCCGGAGGCGCTCTACCCCCCGATGAAGGTATGGGCCATCCTCCTGAGAAGGAGATAGAATTACGGCGCAAGCGGTCGCCGAAGATTGTGCCTCCTCGTTGGCGTATTGAGGATGTCATCAGACGGGGTGTACAAGACGTCCAATCACCACTGTACTAACTGCCTGCATGACGAGTCACGAAGTTCGGGGGCAAATTGTACCCGTCCTGGCTTTCTTTCCCACCCGAGATACAATTGTCGCTTGATCATGCGCTATTGTCGAGTCGTGCGTGGGATGAGCCGCTGATAATAAGCCTGATTCGGTGATGCTGGTCATGCCGCGTCGCAAGGTTTTTCAGCACTTCTTGCCCTGTAACGCTAGACGGTTCGCTTCGATCGTCTGTTGATCTTTTGCTCTGTCCATGAAGAGTGTCTGGTTTGAAAACAAAGTCACGAGTATCTGAACAATGAACGAATACGCCTTTGCGGAACCTACGACGACCAAGCAACTTCTACCTTCTTCGGCGGGTGTTTCTACCGTTCCAGTGATGGACGACATGGAGGACCCGCTCGCTTGCTTTTAATCATTATTTTCTCACTTCTACCCTTTCGTTGTTCGACTTCTTAGACCACATACCAATATTTCCGGTCTTCCCCACCAAGTGCTGGAGGGTTCGAATTGGGGCCGGCTCTTAATTGTGCATGATATTGCGGCCCAGGGCTTGAACCTTGATCAGGTTGATGAAAGTGGACTTGCTGAGAGAGATTTCTTGGGCGGAAGTGTACCTAAATGTTTATACTTAGATGACTGTTAATATATTATTTTTTACACTAAGGATATATCCACGAGTAAAAGCCTGTTCTATCAGCCAGAACCCCATGAACCGCGTCAATTAAGAAACGTCAGGATCTATTCCCCTCGATGAATAGTCTAAAGACCCTATATCATAGCATAGTGTAATGCGTAGCATGATGTATAAACATGACTAGACCGCAGTGACAGGGAATATCTAAGCAAAAAGGACGACCGTCGCCTACTTGACTAGTAGGTGATGATGAAGAGACGCCATTGCAAAATACCAAAAGTGGAACAAAGTGTACGCCCATGCATCATGCCGTCAGAAACGGCCAGTCATGACGATGATCCATCTATAAGTGTACGTCCGGAAAAAAGCCCATTCCAAAATGCAACGCCAAAGACAAGAACAGGCGAGAAAATGCGAAAGGCAAATAAACAATTGAGGTGTACTCCATGAAGCATAATGGTCATCAAGGCGTTGAGACATGCACGCTGTGCTGTATGGAAAAAGGTAATAAGATATCGGTGAATCATGAAGCAGAGGGAGGTGCAAGGATCTAAACAGTCTAAACAGTGCCGTATCTCTCCCGTCCTCCGCGCAGGAGCGCCTGGCTTTCCTGCACAGAGGTATCGTGGAATGCTCGTCGAGGGGAAACGGAGGGGATCCAGCCCCTCATCCAGCCCCGGACGCGGGTCCACCTGCTGCTTCTTTCTGCGTACATGACGGGAACAACCTGTTCTTCGTCTCGGGCGCCGTACATGAGGAACTGCAGGCCCATGCAGCCGTCGAGAAAGAGGACGCCAAACGCGCCGAGGAAGAACGGGATGGAGAGGCCCACCCATTCCAGGCGGTTGTTGCCGTCTGCGCCTGCCCATCCGCGACCTCCCCAGGGGGGAAAGTCGTACCATGCGTTGGGGTTGGTTGCGAGCGAGGCGGAGTAGAAGAGGTTACCGCAGAAGGCGGCCATGAAGAGTAAGGGGGAAAGCCCTGCGGTGCTTTTGCGGCGGTAGTTCTTGATGAGTTGAGGCGGACGTGAGCCGAGGTAGAGGACCGTTGAGGTCCAGGAGGAGATTCGGCCGATCAGCAGGGTGGTCTGTTGTGAAGCTGCGGGCGGCAGGTGGTGCTCGGTGGGCTGTGCGTTGGCTACGACGGCGCAGAGCATCGATGCCAGAAGCAGAGTGCGCGTGGAGGCGAGTGGCAGGCTGGGACCACTGCTTGATCTGGCGATCGTGCGACGAGACGAGCTCAACTTCTCGTTAGTGTATAGTAGCGGTTGGTGGTTCATCGCAATGGGCGACGATTTCTTGAGGAGCTCCTCATCCTTTGTGGCCGAGCCTTCCGTTGCAGGCTTGTGTGGTGGGATATCGATGATCGATTCCTCCTCTGATAGCGGCACTCCCTCCAGAAACGATCCAGTGTCTTCGCCATGGTGGGAGTGGGAGTGGCCACCGTACGCGACACCTCGGCCTTTGTAGTGTGTATACCAAAAGAACTGGATTACTAGGGTAACGTCCACCAAGACGTAGTAGGCCGCTATGATCACTTGCCAGGTTGCCTGCCGAGTAAACAGAGCGCCCACAAGGTTACCCGTATCACCAAGACACCATTCGACGAGAAAGAACAGGGACAGACCGGACGTTGACTGCAGCTGGTAGTTCTTGTATATTTGGGGAAGCTGTGCAAAAAGCCAGGATATGATGCTGAGCGTTCCGAGAATCGAAGATAAGAGCGCAAGAGGCGTAGGAAGGCAGATATGTAAGTGGGACGAAACGGCAGCTAGGAATGTTGACGAGGGCTCACAGTGTGCTGGAAGAGCGGCTGGCAGGGCATTGTATAATAGCGGAGGAGGCATACTGAGTGATTCTATGCAACTCACAAATACCCTCTTGCTGGCTCAGGGTACTTGCTGCGTCCCAAATAAATGTGGGGAGATACTGGGGAAGTAGACGGGAAAGAGTAAAGTGGAGCGGGAAAGACGTCTTTCAACAACATGAACAACGAAGAGTCATATGATATGTTCTTCTTATCCTTGGGGAATTTTTGACACAAAGGAAAGATCCAAGGTTGATAGAAAAGGATATCTCAGATTGAAGGAGTGAAAGAATCCAAGGACTCAGGGCTGTGTTGGCTGTCCATCCGTTTGGGGGAGTCACACTGCCCCTTCGAGTATGGGTCACGAGTCATTTCGTTGTGGGCTCAGCTGAGAGAGAGATCGACCACTTGCACTGGTACAGACACAAATGAATCACGCTCCACGGGCTGATAAACTAACAGATAGTCGATCCTTCAGCAGATAGATAACTCCTGAACTGTATTGGCGTATCCTGCTGATACCATTGGCTGCTTCATTTCAATCCGCCGCCGCATTCGGACTAGAACCGGATCACTGACTAACATCCGTTCGTAAGATAAGTGGTCACGTGCCGTCCCTTGATACTACATCATTATCATCACCATCCTCTCTTTGATAAGAACCTGGTTTTCTGGGTTCATCAGTACGACCCTTGTCATGGTTGTTATCATTAATTCAAACCCTAAATAATTCATGACATCAAGGTCAGGTGATGGTGATGAGTAGTACTCCTCCATTATTCCCCATTTCAACACCAATACTCTATATTATCTCAGGAATGCTCAAGTCTACAGTGGATTGAAGGATCTCCTCAGCTGTGAAAGACTCTTAACTCCCGTCGTCGTTTTTGTCACTTGCTATTGGGAGTCTGTAGCGACCGAGGCAATATTTGCAGTTACCCATGGTCTGCCAGGCATATCAAGCAGCCATTCATCAGGCACAGAACGCGCTACGAACATGCGGGGCATTACTGCACAGCTAATCCTCGGGAGCAGAAAACAATTTATCTGGTACTGCATAGACAACATGAGCGAACTGAAAGTGTAAGCAAGGACATGATGAAAAGTAGTGACAATGAACGACGACCATTATATCGCAGAACAATTCATATGCATCACCTAGTGCCAGGCTTACCACTCCCCACAGCGAACCCAAACCTCAAGAATCGTCACTGTGTCTACTATGTCTCGAGCGGCTCCGATGATGCCGATGGCCATGGTGGTGTTGATCAAGATGATGATGATGATGATGATGGTGACGATGGCGATGGTGATGGCGCTTATGATGATCCTCGCCATGCTCCTTGTGTTCCTCGACCCGGTGCTCCAGAAAATTCCCTAGTAGTGCACCACCCAAAGCACCAAGGAGACCATGACTCTGTTTATGTCCCAGATAGTACCCAGACGCACCTCCCATCAACGTTCCCGCAAGGCCACGATCCTGCCCTGATGACCCAGATCTAGACCTAGACCGCGATCCGGATCTGTCCTTCATCGCGCTACTGGACGCGCGGGATCGGCTACGCCGTGATCGGGAAACATCTCTATGTTCGTCGGTATGCTGGTTGCTGTAAGGCGTTAGTCGAAGAATGGGACCAGATGAACGAGGAAGGTGTCATACTAATACTCAGCGTTGCTGCCCTGGCGACCTCTAGCTTCGTAGTTTCCGGGCGCATGCTGGTACCCCAGCGCATCAGACGGGCTCAGAAAATCCCTGAGCGGCGGCGGCTGATGCTGTTGCGCTTGCGGGCTCAAATCATGCTGGGTGGTGTGGGCACCCGTATACTGTTCAAGCTGGCCAGGCTGTCCATATGGTTGCTGTGACCCATAACCATGCGGGGCGTCCTGGGGCGTACAGTATGCCCCGCCGCTAGGGTGCGGACCTGGAGCTGGAGCGTCATAGGGTGGGTACTGGCCATATGGGAACGCCATCTTCGAGAAGTGAAGACTTGCGAGAGGCAAATGGATTCGTCCAGAGTAGGACTAATATCAATTTAAGAAGAAACAGGCTGAATGATATCAGACAACGATTTATAACGAAAGATTCAATCAAACATGGATCCCCGTGTCCCGTGCGGCTGAGGAGTAAGCTGTATGACTGCGTCGGCACCAGATGACCTTCCCCCGCGACATCATCCAGTCACGGTGCTAGGTATTCCACATAACTCGAGGAGACCCTCGAGCTATGCGCTTAGTAAGGGTGTCGATGTGACAGAGTCTAGAAGATTAAAAGTACTGCTATCAAGAATAAGCGAAGCCGTACACTGGTAGCGAGTCAGCAAGGCTTTGTTTACGATCTACCATATTCATAGACAGGAACGTAGAGCGTGTGTCTCAGAGTGATCTGTAGGAGACGTTTATTTTCTTCATTTGTAAGAGGTACGAGATGTGATAAGAGATGGTGACTTGGCTGTAGCAGAGGAAGCGTGCAAGAGTCGAACAAGCCCATATATGCCTCGGGGTATCCCAATAGAGGTAAAGTGAGGAAAAGAAAAAAGAAAAGAAAGGCCGAGCATGGTGAAGGACGACATTCCAGCAAGCCCAACATAGCTTGTGATAAACATCAACGAGGGGAACAAAATGAAACAAACAAGCTGGCAGCAAGGGGCTTTCGTGGTCACTGGCACGGGATTCACACCTGCGCCCTTTGAGCCGAATAGGAAAAGAAAAAAGTAATGAGAGAAGGGGGAAAATGAAAAGAAAAGAAAATTGTAGAATGGTCCGATTTAAAATCAGCTATAATAGAGACGAGCCAGTGGGAAGGATAACTCACGTAATGCGCCCAGCACAATCGAGCATCTGGCCATCAGAAGAACCCCGATAGAAGTTCGACATTATTTGCATGACGTACAACTATTATATCAACAGAGCAGTCACAACGCCGTAACGCTTACTGCCTTCGTGGCAGTTGCATTTCGCAAGCGTCGACCGACCCAGTCAGCTAGCATCATGTCCAACTGGCTGCTCATTTCCTTCAGTCTCCTGCTTTCCTCTTTGAAGAGGCTGCCTGTGATTGGATGCTCAGGACCAGCTGGAGGGATGTTCGAACTATCATGCACAATAATGTACAAATCGCGGATGTCGTTCTCATCGTCCAAGTACGACCGCAGACTAGCGTCGCTCCAAGTCGGGGTTTCCGCAGAAAGTCGATCCATTGGAGAGGCGACTGTATCAATGCCCTTGCTCTCGCTGGCGTTTCCGTCTGGGGAAATTGGTGGCGAGATTGGGGAAACCGAATAATCCTTTGGAGAAGACACATCCGTTTGAAGGCCAGGTGGCGCACCGGCCTCGACCGCTGACACACTCGCAGGGGACTCTGGTCTTCGATCAAGATAGGAGTTCTCCTGTTTCTGCGGAGATCTCTGCGGCTGCGATGTCACAGACGGTTGGAGAGGAACTATCCGATCGTAAGGACTCTGTCTTTCTTCGTGTTGGGACTCAACGCGGTCGCTCGTAGCATCCCTGGCCATTACATCCTCAGGATCCCGCTTTGCGGACGGATCTATCGTGTCAACAAGAGACAGGATACCGTCTCCTGCGTCCTCAGAAACCATTGCGCGTGTGGGCTGAGGAAGAATGTCGTCATCCTCAGAAACCACTTGCCGGATAGTATCAGTCTTTTGTTTTCCCTTGGTAAGCACCTTTTCACCACTTTCGACGGCAAGAGGCGCATTCGAGCCATGCTGAACCGCTTGCTTGGCGGGCGAGGTGACAGGCAGAGTCTGCTTCTGGGACTTAGTCGTCTGCTTTTGAGCTGGGTTCCCCTTCGCTGGCCGTGACTCAGGGGACGACACGGACTCAGAGGACGTCTTGGGTATGGGCGACGTTCGAGATAATTCGCCTGAGACCTTTTCTGGCTCCTCGGATTCATCTTCGGTAGATTTGCTTCTTTTATCCTTCCGCTTGAACAGCCCACTCAGCATCCCTGGCTTCTTATCCTTTCTCTTCTTGTCATCCCTGCCTTTGTCGTTTGCACCCAGTGCTTTGTCAATGTTGTCAAAGCTTCCGCGGCCCTCCTTTGTCTCGCTTGAGAACCCGCCACTGCTCACTTCGTCACGAAGCAAATTCGGCGTTAGAGATATCTTCTTAGTCTCAACAGTGTCGTCTTTGAAGAACGAATCCGTGTTCCTCACGGTACCATTCCGAGATCTGCTGACAGTAGGTTCACTTGCTGCCTCAAACAACTCCTGGCTGGAGCGTTGCTTCTCGGGGCTCGTAGAGCCAGACTGCGAAGTCTCTTCCACGTTTTCCGACTCATCAGTGGCCTTGTCGCGATTTGACTTCGGTCTGAGCGGCTCGACGACAATATCATCATTGTGATCATCCTGCAGATCATCGCCATCACGTATGATCTCTCCGGCGTCGATAAGAGAGTCTCCGTCGTCGATTTCATCCTCGGTCGACCAATCAATATCCGACGCTTCAATGTAGGTCGGAGCGGTGAAGGTGACGTTTTTTGCATTCCTGCGGCGCATTGCTTTCTTTAACGGATTTTTGGATTTCTCTGAATTGTCACCCAGCATCGTTGCTGACAACTGTTTCTGTCAGAGAGTCCTACTACTCAGCGGGTATCACATACGTCAACATTTCGATGCTTGTTCAGCCTTGCAAGTCTTTCTGTGGGTGTTTCTATATGCTCAGCCGGCAGATACCCTAGAGACTGTCAGGGAACCGTTTTTGAGAAGGGCGAGCGAGAAATGTTACCGATGCTGCCATCCTTCACGATTCGAACGAGCCACCAGTAGCTGTTGCTATCGTCGAGGAGGACCATTGTATCTCCTTTTGCTGCGTTGGCTTGTCCATCAACCGTGGCGACAAAATTGTGAAGAGCGTAGACGAATTCAAAATCAATATCTTCTACTCAATGTAAGCCATGTGCATCTGGAAATTTAGAGAACTACGAGGGACATGGGAACATTGCACGGCGACAAGTGCAGCGCGACGAACCATCCCGCAAATATCAAAGTCCCAGGGTCAGGTGCTTACCATCGTCAATTGACGGCGAACTTGAGATTTTGTCCATCAAATCATCATCCAACAGATCGTCACTTTCTTCGTCTGCGAGATCGCCTTCTTCTGAACTATGGCCTCGTCCATGATGGCCTAATCCTGCATCCGCAACGTCCATATCGTCATGAATATCCATTCCATCATGGTAGTGGTCAGCGTCCAGGTGGCTCTCGTCCAAATTGGGGCCGTGTATCATCTCATTTCTCGCATCTTGATCCGCATGGCGAAGGGTATGTTCCTGATGGGGTGCAAGGCCGCTGCCTGTATTGAAGGAATGTTTCGAATGATCTTTAGCCGAGGGAGCATGGTGATCTTGAAGGTCGAGCGTGTCTACCGCGAGCGAGTCAGAATTTCAACGGCACAGCTCAGGGACTTTGTCAGTGCGGTCTGATTGTTTCGGCACATACCAGCTCGGATAATTCGAGGTCGTGTCATCTTTGATCTTTCTCGGATATTTGGTCCCTAGAAAAGCGACGAAATTGTATTGAAAGCTCGGAAACTGAAGACTGAGGAGCGAGCTGAGAAATCAGGCGTCATCGATGTCGCAAGAGAGGGCAAAACAAGATTCGACGCAATAGCGATTGGTGTGGGGGTAAGACAAAAAAAAATTAGAATTAGAAAAAACAAAACAGACTAGGAACGAAATGATCGAATTGAAGGAGACTCTTGTCATTTAAAGACGCAAGGGTAAGTGTCAAAGAGTCTGAAGTTAATCAAAGTGACAGCGCCAGCTTGGTCAACTCCGCAGAGAGTCTCGGCTGAAGGTATCAAGAATGGACGGTCAAATAATGGCAATATGGCCCGCAAGACGAAAGAAATACTTCCAGAGCGATTCTTGACAAGAACAGGCCAAACCAGGAAGAAAAAGAAGAGATATGCAACGCCCGTGGCCGTGTCAATGACCGGGTAGCCCAACGTGTTCCCCGGACTATCAAGACAACGTCCGAAAGGGGGTGTCCAGATCTCCAAAACAAGCGCCCCTTGCGCGCGCTTATTAGGATTGGCTTAAGGTGCCTGAGCCAGGCACCTAAGCAAGAATATTCTAACCTTGATAGGCTTAGCACGTGCTTGTTTGGCCCTAGGGCAAAGAACCGTAGGATAGGGTCCACTTATCAGGTGACATACTGGGGTCTGTATGATGATAAAGCGCTGTTCATTGGACCACGAGCAAAACTAGTGTCGATCTGCCACCCCCGCTCACTGTTCACTTTCCGAGCCTTCGCAACAGTCGTCCCGTCATCACCCGATAAACCCATCCTTGCCCATCACCTTCGCCTCAGATTCGACGCTTTTAACAATCTTTTCATCCAAATCTCTACGGGTAGGTGGCTCATCATCTAGTTTTACTCCTCTTTCACTCAATATCCTTCATCTGCAAGTGGAGCCTTGTCCCTTTAAATCATACCACCCCATTTTATAGTTGCCCCCAATAATCGACAGAGTTAAATCACACAACGAACCTCGGTCGACCCCCCCATGTAGTCGCCTCATCGTATCATCGCGAAATTCAGCAACCTCATCACCATTTCAGCTTTTCCACTTGTTACGGAATTGTCCTCTTTGAGGGCATGGCTCATAAAGAAAGGAACGGATTGGCAGGCTTGAAGATCGAAACTTCCTTTCAGCGACATCAGTGGCAGCGGCCTGAAGGTGGCCAGGGAGCGACGGACGATGGCAGTGGCATCGAGGGCGACCGTACCAACATCTTTCACGATTCTGGCGCGCGCGGTTGCGGTACTGATCAAGACAACAGTATACTGAGTGGTCTTCATTCAGCGACTCCTCCAATCTCGGTACCTCGTCACGATGATCGTCACACGCACGATGTTAGCTATCCTCATAAGCCAGAAGAGGTTTCAGCCTCCCCGCTTGAGAGCTACATCCAGAATCGACGGCCCTCCATCAGCTTTGACCCTAACGTCACTCTAGATTCTGGCCAACAGCAGCCTCTCGAAGAGCCACTTGCCGAGGGAGATCCGAGAGATCGAGGTCTCTTAAAGTATCAATCGAGAACTTCGGGTTTAAGGAATGCTTTGTCCCAAGAAGACGATGAGGAGCACGATGTGAAGCAGATCGACTACAATGCCAGTCCCAGAAGATGTCGTAACCAGCGTATCTTCCCTATTGGATGTCGCGGAAGTTTTCCGACTAGTCCCGAGGAAGAGATGCCTATGAGCTCTGAACTTGACCGTCCAACATCCTTGACGTCTGTTTCAACTGTCTCTCCTATAAACGATGAGGTTCGGACACCGCCGGAAAGTTCCAGGGACCTCTTATCGCCCATCTACATGGCGTCACCAGTACAAACGTTCGCTTCGCTCGATGACCGCAGTTCTTGGTCCACAGGTGTCATAACGCCATTCGGTAGCAAACCAAAGGGATTTCGAGGCTCTACGCGTCAGAGCTCTCGCCGGTCTACGCTCTCAAGCGGCAAGTCCCCAGCCAGCACGTTTCTGTCTATGTGGAATGGCCGAGAAGAGCCCACCCCACAGCCTGATGACGAGGGCCAAATGGTTGGTACTGAGTACGTGCTTGGAAAACAGATTGGCTTTGGCGGTTTCAGCACTGTAAAGGAAGCATATAAAGTTGAAGAGAGTGGCGAAACGCGACGCCTCGCTGTGAAAATCGTCCGCAAGCAGGTCTCTGGGAAGAGCGAGAAGGAAAATGACATGGTTCAAGCTGAGTTTGATCACGAGGTCAGAGTCTGGCGATACCTCAATCACCCGAATATTTTGACACTAGATGCGGTGTACGAGACAGACTATGCCACTTTTTGCTTCACGAAGCTGGCTATTGGGGGTACTCTCTTTGATCTTGTTCGTCAGAACCGTCAAGGCTTGGGTATCAAGCTTGCCAAGAAGTATACCTACCAGCTAGCATGCGCCCTGCGATATCTGCATGAGGACGCCCGCGTTGTGCACAGAGATATCAAGCTTGAGAACTGTCTACTGGACCCTCACAAGTCCCAGGACGGTACACAGTCGTCTACTCTTGTCCTTTGCGATTTTGGCATGGCTGAATGGCTAAACACGGACAATGAAGGAGACTCCCCAGGCCCTTACGACGATGCTGCGGACCGGCCACCGCCGAAGAACATCGGCCCGGCCGGGTCGAGTACTAGCGTTGCGGGAAGCTTGGAATACGCCTCCCCCGAGTTGCTTCTCTCAGACAATGGTGTGATCGATCCTTCAGTGGACATCTGGGCATTCGGTGTCATTGTCTACACTGTCATCGTTGGATCCCGTCCTTTCCAGGATTCCTTTACCCCTCGTATACAATCGAACATTCTCAACGGAACCTGGAACCGACAGGCCGTTCTGGGTGACACAAGCGACCCGCAGGCTGTAAAGGACAGAGAAGCTGCGCTTGAGCTAATCCAGGGTTGCCTAGACATGGACGCCAGAAGGCGTTGGACTATTCGTGATGTATTGTCATCACTTTGGTTGGATGGCTTTTCCGAAAATACACAGAACGGTAGCAGCGACTCAATCTGGAAGCTTTGAGTGCTTCTTCGACGGCAGAATTGCCGGCACTCTTCTGCGCCTCTTGAGTGCTAAAGACTGAGATGAAATTTATGATTTATGTGTGCTTTATTTTGATGGTCATCACTGGCGCTCTCTAATGACAGCACCAGGGCTGGTGTTTCGGAACTGTTGATCATCTGTGATACCCTTTGTTTTTCTCGACGAGTTTTTTTGCTATGACCTTTATATATGGAGGGATTGATATCCGTGTTCTCTGTCTTCTGGATTCGTTCTCGACTCATCCAGGTCACTTTCGCAAGATATGAATGGTTTATTGAATTTAAGGAAAAGTCGCACCGTGTTAGCGAGCATGGCGTTGTTCCTGGCTGGTTCTCTACGCGTTCTTCACTCAATGGCTTTCGCATGGTGTACATATCTTTCCAAATGGCTCTCCTGCTCATAGCCGGCTGACTTAATTCAAGTCTCACTTTCGTCTATCTCTGTTTCTAGTGACATACATGTCTAATATGCAAACTACCAAACCGCTTGGGGTGTGATCGCAGGGGATTGTTTTGTATTGACAATAACCCGCCTGCTTCTCGGTCTTCGGCCCTCGTAGATCGATCCGGCCTGGTATTGGGCTAAGTGCCATGCCTGCTGTTTTGAACCGGTTAACGGAGTCAGAGGGCGATTGGAAGAAACTGAGAGCTACACGACCGAGGTTTAATATTCCATTTATGCAAAGTATTTATACATGTATTCCCACAGAAAAATCGGAAGTCAACAAGACAGGATGTAAACGAAGAAGACAGGCTAGTTGTACCATGAACACAAGTCAAAAACATAGAGCTAGAAACGGTATTTTTCGTTTCCTCACTACCAAAGTCTGTTCTCCGGCAGCACCTTCTCCTTCTTGACGCCAGCCGACGACTTGCGCTCCGCCGGCGAGCGGAAGAACAAACTGGGTCCCTCGGAAGGTTTGAGCAGATGGCTCAGATACCCCCGGTGGGCCGGGTCACGGTAGTACTCGATATCGCGACGCTTAGTGGGGTCAGGGAGACGGTACTTGTAGCCCATTTCGCGCATGATATTTGACTCGGCGAGATCCTGGGCCTCGAGGCCGGCGGCCTTGAGGAGGGCGTCGCTGGCGCTTTCGGGCGACCATGCGGTCGAGATGAACGGGTGCGTCTCACGATTCATGATGCGGGCTATGGCGGAGCGGGTGTAGAATCTTGTTGTCACGGAGCCGCCGGCGGCTTCGACGGCAGCGATGGCGCTGGCGGAGGCGCGCGATACGACGATGTGGATGGGTTGCTTGAGGACGTTGCCGCCTTCGGCTGATACGCCGCGGCCGAGAAGCTTCACGCCGTCCTTGGTCTGGTGGATGCAGCGGGATTTGGCCAGTTCGCGAATGGTGATGGGGCGGGTTGGGTCGATGCGGCCTTGGTCAATCCATTCCTGGATGCGGTCGAGGTTGGCGGGCGCGAGGTCGAGAGCGAAACTGCGTTGCCGGATGTTAGGAAATCTCCATCATTATTTTCTCTGCGCTCACAAGGCCGGGACATACACGTTGTTGAACCCACGCTCACCGTGCACCACGATCTCCGGCGTCTGTCCACCATTGAACCCCGCGGGGACTTTTCCATGCTGCTTTTGACCCTTGTGACCACGTCCGGAGGTCTTACCCTTACCGGACGCCGGACCACGACCTCTTCTGATTCTCTTATTGTACGCCCCCGGAGTATCGGACAACGACGCTAAAATGTGTGCATTGCGGCTCTGTTGCTGGAATTGCGGTAGGAGGGATGACAGGGGTGACGCTGCCGACACAGCTGGTTTTGTCAGAATCTGTTGCCACCTCAGTGGCAGCATCTGAAGATTAGGACGCATTGTATCTGTGGGAGACTGATGATTGTGATTTTCCACTGCTGCGTTGAACTGATATTACGGGACAAAGATCTTCGGGATGCGGATGCGGAGAAATGTCGGACCGGGCATCATTTCCTCTGCCTAAGGTTGACTACTACAAATAATCCTTCTGATACACACATGATAATAGAGTAATTCTCTTATTTTTCTTACTTATTCATCAAAGGTCTCTGGCTCTGATTGAATTTGTTGTCTACTGGTTCTAGCAAAGAAACGCTACAACGAGGGCCAGCACAAACGCCCCCGAAAGCACCTCGCCAGGCAGCTATGGAACGATTGCTATCCCGAACGACACTTAATATAGTTGTCCTGCAGCTTACCGAGGACAGCTCTAGTCAGGAATGCAGATACTCAGCCAGTCTGTGGGAGATTGTCCACTGCTTCCTCATGTACGAAGGCAGAAGGACACCGTAGCCTCATCCGCTGTCTCTCTCATCGTCGCACCGATACAGTGGGATCTAACCACGCTTTGTGCATTGACAGTCCGTTGTCTTTCCTAAGTACCTGACCAGGCTGTGGCTGGGGAATGTCTATGTACAGCCAGTATCTCTCGCTGTACTGATCATTCACTAGGATAGGTATGCCTGGAACAAGGTGTTGAGGAACACTTTGAAAGTGCCAGATATCCCCGGCTATATGCTCTGGCTAGCCAACAGCAAACTTAGGCTGGCCCGTTCAGCACCACAGAAACATCAGCCGTGACGTAGAGGGCCAGATACACATCGGCTTGTATGGCTAAGAAGCATGATGCTTGGTCGGATGTAGCAACTGAGCCTCCTCGGTTCGATTAGAAATGTGTCTGTCGGCTGTGCTTCAGACCTTCGAAAACGAATCAGCCAGTCCAATTGGGAATAACTGTATCGCTAAAGAAATGGATATTGTTCCATCGCAGGGCGACAGGAGTAACGGGTTGACCTGGGCTATGGTTCAACCGTAGATAGAATACTCACCGCTGTGTCCATGGGCAAGGTAAGCAAGCTCTTTTCACGCCCATTGAAAGATTAAGGATGACTCGAGAGGCCACTTTGCATCTTCATTGTCTTCCTTGCTCGGCACCTTACTCCCGGTGCATTCATATACCTGGGAATGATGACAAAGGTACGGAACGTAGATTGCCTCACGAAGATGACCAAAGTACCTGGCGTTGAGTTCAACTAACAGTATCCTTGGCCACGGAGTCGCCGTGTTCAGCAGGCATAGTTCCTGTACCAAGTGCCTGCAAGCAAGGACTAGACGCACGAAAACTCGAATACCATGCGTATTACTCAACACCGTCGACAAAGATCCCCAGGAGCAAGGTAGTCTCACAGACTCCATGAGACTCAGCCAAGGTATGGACCGGTTCCTTTTGTCAACTCGGGTAAACATAGGGGGTTGCCTGCTTTCCGCGATTCCATGGCATTCAGATGTCAGCGACACCGGCATCGTTGCCCAGTCTATGGTTGTTGAAATCTGTTCGAAATCAACGGAGAGCCCTTGTCTGTGGCCCACTTCCCAGATGGCAGTGTTGGTTCGGGGCCGCGGTTGATTACATATTGCGCGATGCCGAAGATAATATCAGCAGAATATGATCGAATTAGCAGTCACGATGAGAATGGTTGTATATGTAAATGTACTGGTGTAGGCTACAGTATTCCAGTGGGGAAGCACGGAACGAAAGGAGAGTGAATATCGAGGTCTGGACTCCGGACAAGTCCTGGTGCTATATTTGGGTCAGATGCTCAGTCAGTCTCATTTCGATGATCCGGATGTGAAACAGGATTCGTATGCCTTCCTGACTATGTATCTATCACCCTGATTGGTAAATAATGAGTGGTTTTTCAATGACCCATTGTGGGACAGAATCATTGTCTTGACAATAAGGTCAGTATGTCACAAGTTGTTAGCTGTCATTTACGCGTGTTTTGGACACTGCAGTATTGCTCTTCTAGACCTGTGTCACAATGACTGTTGCTTGAGCTACGAAGGACATCATCATTCCAGGTTTTATATTCCGTAGTAACCGAAAGTTGCTGGAGGAATCCTGGTGTTGTACGGTCTCTTTTTGTCACGGAGCATGCCATCGGCTATGCATTTATGCTGTTAATTATCGCAATAAGATCCGATAAGTGTCTCTCCTCAAGGATGAACCTCGGTTTCAGCGCGCGATACTCCGTACACGGACATTGATGCTGTCGGTATTCGTAGGAGTTGATTCAAAGTCTTATACTTCGGACATCCCATCCTGCGACTGGGTCAGACTGTTTCGCAGGTAGAAGACTCATGTGTGCTGGCTCAAATCGTTCAACTTGAGACATCTTTCCACTGATCCTTGCGGGAGGATGGGCATGAGGAGAAAAAGCGAGGCGCAAGTCTCCCTCGCAGCAGTGGCTTCGTCTGTCTACTCTACACCAGCAGATTCTGAGCACGCACAAGCACCAATGCGTAATGAAATCAAAGTTAGTCAAGCGAGATGAAAACGTGAGTGATCAATCATCAGTTCAATCCGAGTGCGTTGGCCTTGGGAGAACTGTGCTGCTGATGAAGTTCTCGAGCCGCCAGGATGAGTAAAAAAATATAATGTAAGGAGCCTAGAGAGGTAGCAGGGAGGACACTAGAGAAACAGCTAACTATCCTGTGAAAGGGCTGTACAGTTGTCCCTGGCAAGACACATAGGTACATACAAGGTAGATGAGAACGGAGTACTCCGTACCATACTCGTCAAAATCCTTGCATACATTCAACTGCCCACCTGGTGACCCTGAAAGGCTGCAAGGTGATAAATGACCTAGATATGACAACCACGGGGCACTCTGTGCACATTTGCAAGGAGCTGCAGTTACAATAGGAAAATTCTCCGATGAATATCGTTTCCCTTCTGGTAATGGGCAGAAGGCAACTACGACTGGGATACGGCCGGATTGGACCATTTTGGGCCAAAGGTAAAACCAAATGAATTTGGGGATGGTATGTCTAGTTTGGATGGAACATGACGCAAGCTGATATTCGCAGAGGACAAGCCTTTTCTTGCTGGACTATTTGAAGATAATATTTTCTTCTTCTTGATATGTATCTATGTGTCTGTTAAAGCGGAAATTGTGAGTTGAGCACAATTTAAATGTGAGATCCAC